CCCTATGTGCAGATCTTCGTATGCCCAAATAAGTAAGATAGGACGTATTCGAAAATATATCAACGAAGAAAGCTACAAAAACACTCGTTAACTCTCTCGTGACATCAAGACTGGATTATTGCAATGCTCTTCTATATGGTATACCTCAACAAACCATGAAAAAAACTTTCAACTTGTTCAAAAATACTTCAGCCCGTGTGATTAAACGTACATCTAGGAAAGATCATATTAACACCAGTGATGAAAGATCTTCATTGGCTGCCAATCGAATATAGAGTGAATTACAAGATCTTATTACATACTTTCAAGTCACTGAAACAACAATCTCCATCATATATGCAGGAAATGATTCAAAGTTTATTCCACTTCCCGAAATCTGCGCTCTTCAAATGCACCTGTTACGATTAGTGCAACCAAAAACTAAAACTGAAATTTTGGTGAAAGGAGTTTTTCGGCATCAGCTCCTAAGCCATGGAATTCACTACCAAGTTCATCTAAAAAACTGTAACACAGTAGAAAGTTTCAAAAAAACATCTTAAAACACACTACTTCAATTAGCTTATGGAAAATAATCAATGAACTGTTATGAATGAATTTTATTAAAACAGTGAAATACGAAGTATCTGTTATTTGAATATTAGTTTTATTAAAAAAGTTTTTTTTTTTTTTAAAACAAACAATTTTTAAATCAATTTAGTATTTCTATTGTTTTATAACGATGATTTAGCAAGATCTTATCTAATTATTATAAATCCATTGCTAGCATTTTTAAGCACAGAATATTTCTTTTTTTTAAATCAAAAAAAAAAAAAAAAAACTAACATTGATTTATCATAATAATTACATGTGTTATATAATATATGGCTCGTGAATGCAGAGGGGTCAGATTTCAAGAATATTATGTGTTAAGGTGTGGGCGTGGCCCTTTCCTCCTGTGGTGATAGTAGTGATGTCATCCTGGGGGTCTGCATGCGCTGTGGGGAGGTATCTGACTCCCTTGGTACTGGACCTTGGTGTAGCAGTACTCATGCTATCCAGGTTCGTTAGGTTCAATATTCTTTTAGTCTGATGTCGCTGTATTCATTCTTTTATCAATCGTTCATATATTTTCTGTTGTAAAGTATGACAACAAAACAATGAAAATCATCAATATGCATTTAAAGTAGCTTTTAATATTTATTTATGAGTTTATGTTAAAAGGCACATTATTTCTTACACATTTATATATTGAAGACAATTTTAATGTATGACAATAATATTGTAAAGTGAGTTTTAAGGATCTTTAAGTTTTATTGTATTAATATGTAAAAATAATTACATAATTTATACTTTTAATTAGTTAATGCAAAATATTTTTAATGTTCATAATCCTGTTCATTTATATTGTTTTAGACATATATGATTGATGTAAAGCGCCTTTGAACATTTTAATGAAAAGGGCGCTATATAAATGTGGTATTTATTATTACAGTAAAGACTGTCTTAGCGACCCCCTGTATATAGCGACGTTCTGTCTTTAGTGACCATAGTTAGGTGCGCCGAACAGTATTTACTATATAAATGGTCTGTATGTAGCGACTCCTTGTCTAGTTCGTACAACGACCATGATTTAGTCACCCGTTACGGTATTTGAGCCGTGAACAGCGACTTTTTCAAGGGAAGCAAGGCTTGAACTAGGTGACGACTTTGGCGAAGAAGTCGCCTTAGGATCACCGACTTTGCCTAAAACAAACTTCAAAGAGATTTTGAAGTCGCCCGATTGTTAGAATTTTCCTTCATTCTTATTTACGCCGCTAGGTCTGTTAATTATTTGTTTACCTCTCAATTACAACCAATTACCGTTAATCCGCTAATTAAGAACGCGTGTCAACATCAACAAAGTTAAATACACGCCGCAAGGCAAGAATTCACTATGTTTATCTTTCTCATTACATTTTCATGCGATTGACGAATCAGAACGCGCGTTGTATCTACGGCAGGTTGCATTGACCAATCGGCGACACGCTAACACACTGTGGCTGTTTGTTGACAATTACACAAAATGGTGACAGATTCAGATTCAATCAATTTTCGCCGATAGAATGATTAAAGACACCTGCATATACATAAATGCTGCAGTGTTTTGGCGAGTAAAGATAAACAATGCCGAACGTCTAGAAGGTGTGGTTATGTTTGAAACCTCGATTGTTAATTTTTTTTCGGAGCACTTATCTGTAGAAATTATGAGAAGATTTGTATCTAATGTTTTATTAATACATTGAACTCCGTAAAGTAAACAGGCTGATTATACAAAATTAAATGTCTCTATAGTAACATCTCATTAGTAAAATTAAAATTAAACATTTTTTACCAACAGATTAAACCATATAAATTACATTTTCATGAATATGTAACTTTAGAATACTAATGTTATGGTGTAGTTTATAATCGTAACCAATTATACATGCAATTTTAACACTCTCTTGTTTTTTTATAAATGATATTTGATATGTTTAATATCAATAAAAATATAATTAAACCCTTAGTATGGTACTATCCTGCTTTTCAACATAATATTGGTATGATATGTTCATATATCCGAATAATGAAGAGACTGTCCACAGTGACTCCCTGTCTATAATGACCTTTTTTCTTTTCTCCCATCGAAGGTCACTGTAAACAGTCTTTACTGTATTATTATTATTATGAAATGCCTTATTATTTGATAATACATAAGGGGCTGCGTTCAGCGAACGGAGCAATTTCTTGTTGATCCTATACCGATATTTAATAACTGTTGGTTAAAAAAGAAAAGAAATTCAATGATAATATTTGCCTGGAATAAAGTGCCAAAAAAGCATATTCACAAAATACAATAACATATGTCGCGTGTTTTGCATTTCAAATTCTTTTTTCAGTATCAGTATATTGCCTGCTGTTTGAGACCTATTTAGTACTGTCTTTTCATTTAAATACATTAAATACATGCATGTATATCTTGAAATGAGACAAGAGTTATATGCTATAAATGTTCACGTATTGCTCGGACATGATAATTTTCAAAGCGTTTGTATATTTCTAATCGTATAAATTTTTTATTTCAAGGGCTTGCAGACAAATTACAATTGTTCTGGTTTCCACAGTCAGTGTGATTCATATGATTACATTTCTGCCACTTTCAAAGCAGCTAGAGAGGAACGACCATCTGAAAGGAAAGATTACACATATTGGATTTTTAAAGGTTCACAAATGTGGCTCTGCAACAATGTCAAATATAATTTTCAGGTTTGGAATTAAGAACAATTTAACATTTGCAATACCAAAAAAAGGTGCTTACATCACAAACACAGACTCTTTACTTCCTGTGCGTCCGACTGGTCATTATGATATTTTGATCGGTCATTCCATATATAGCCGTAAGTTATATCAGTATTCATTTGGAACAGATTCGGTAAATATTGCAATTGTTCGCGATCCTGTTCAAAGAATGATTAGTGCTGCGTATTATTACAGAGATGTTTGGGCACAAGCATATCTGCTACGTGTTCCAGAAAGTAATTTCATTGAAAATCTTGTCCGATTACCTCATGTTTATGACAGAGCTCCATTTAGTTTCACAAGAAATGCCATGGGGAGAGACTTTGGATTTTCTTCATCTATATCTATCAATGATACAGATAAAATAAACCAACACCTAGACATGCTGAAAAAAGACTTCAAACTTGTCCTTGTTCAGGAAAGGTTCGATGAATCGCTTGTCTTGATGAAAAGAACTTTAAACTGGGACATTGAAGAAATACTTTATATAAAGATGAATGCAAACAAGCATAAAGTAATTACGCTCAGTTCAGATCTTATAAAGAAATTACAAGAAACGTGTTTCTTAGATTTCAAAGTGTATGAAACTTTTTCTAAAATATTTGATGAAAAAGTAAAAGCTGAAGGTCCGGATTTTGTTCGTGAGGTAGAATGGTTTCAAAATGTGCTTCAATCAGTGTGGGAGTTTTGCCATACAGAGCAAGTTGGTAACATTGTGAAAATAGACAAATCGGAATGGAACGAGCCATTTCACATCACTCAAGAAAACTGTTCGTACATGAAAATGGAAGCCATAACATACCTTCCAATGCTAAGAGACCGTCACCAAAAGATGAACAATTGAAATTATGTAGATTTATAGTATTACTGTTGACATATGTTTTTAAACTTTAAAGCCCAATATTTTGTTTTAAAAAAACACACACACAACTTGATATATGTTCAGTTACTTTCATTTAGAGTGAAATAAAATTTGACTTAGCAACTAAAATATTTGCATATGAACATTGACCTTCAAATGGTAGAGTGACAATCAGTTGATATATATCAGAAAACAGTTTTAGTAAATGCTAAAACTACCTTCTGCTTACAGTCCAAGTAGGGTTAAGAATTAATTTATTTGAGATATATAACAAAAATGTATGAAAAGTGTGATTTGTTTTTCCAGTCGTCGTATGTATTAGAAAGACATTTTGTTTTTCTAACATTTAATCATGAGAGAGACACAGCACAGGTAAATAAATATTTGTATGCACACCTAATTATAGATGGAGTGATAAATAAAGTTGGGTTTTTAGGAAACCGATGTGAAAGTTACCTCTTATGACAATCAAAGTTGAAAAATGCTTTGGACGAAATTCATGTTTCTTGCTTATTTATCGTACATGATTTTCAAACATATCACTTTTCAACGTCTTTTATTTTCGTATGAGAAAGAGCACTCTATACGTTTTATTATGCATAATTGAAAATATGATCACATAAACACTGTACATCATATAAACATTGATTACTGTCTAGTCTGTAACTTCGATTATGATGATTATTCTAAAACTTCTTAGCAATAAATACTGGAATGTACTTGGTTCATCTTGCAATACACGATCTTTTGCTAGACTCTTTTGCCTATATTTTGATTCGTTTGAACCTTTGTCTTATCACCAGTCAAGATATTCAAGTTTTCCTGTGGTACACGACAGCGCCTACAGCACAGAAATCTTCAAATGCAGCATTGCACTGTAAACATTTTTCATTTCAGTGTTTTTATTTTTTCTGGTCTTTTGGGATCTTTGACTCCAGCACATAAAGTGTTTGAAAATTGAGCTCAAGTCAGTGCTAGGGGGGCATAGAGGGATGTTGCACTCTTTCATTATCCCTCATTAGCCGACTCAATCTAACAGAGTCTGTTATTTTGATGTGATATGTGCCTATGCGGAATCACCCTTTTCCCCATCTTTTTACAAAAACTTAATTATGCACTTATGGTAAAATGACTTTGACTCGGGTATCACATAGTTTACATAGACTTACATAGTAAAAATACCTCGGAAACCCTTTCTCTTAAGCTACAGATCTAAGAGCAAAGTAAGCATCACCTTGTGTCCGCTACAAAAGTTATTTTAATCATGCCCCATGATCAAAACTGACCCTTCCCAATGGATTTCGTTTACTTTGTTTCTATTGACTTGTTTTAAGGTATACAAATTTAAATTTTGTGGAACCTACAAATGCACTATGCCCAGAGTCTAGATACTTGACATGCATAAAAAACTTACGTCAAAAATAAGCCATCCAATGTGATCTTATTAATTGAAGAATGGTAATATTTTGGTTAAAAAAATAAAAAAACAATTAATCTATGGTAAGTGATATATACCACCATAGCCCTTTTGATTATCTTTTAGTTTGTAAATGAGTTTTATAATTATTTGAATATATCTAGGGATCAATAAATGCTCTGAATGCGTAGTTTATATGCAAAAGTTTTGAGAATTAATTTCGACCATTTTCATATCCTTGGGCAGGTCTATGGAAATAAAAACCTATTTATTCATGTATGTATGTGTTTCAACATCCAATACTTGTTTGAAACATTCAAAAGTACGACGTATGGGAACCCTTTTGCATCCAGTTCATGCAATAGAAGTGGATGTCCTGTACCGTCTTCTTGTTCGAGTAAAGACATAAAAAAGACCTTCCCATTCATTTAATACAAGGTGATTTAGGAATATAAAATAAAGTAAGGTTAAGCTTTTTAATCTGTTTATAGCAGTATAACAAGGACACATGATTTCCAATAATTCTAACAAAGTTGTCAGTGATACATGATGACAAAGTGAAGATTCGGTAATCATTATAGGACAGAAAAATAAATATCATCCAATGTGATCTTATCCTACTTGATGGTGATTAAAAATCAATTGATCTATGGTAAGTGAACTATACCACTATAGCCCATTTGATTATCGTTTAGTTTGCAAATGAGTTTTATAATTATTAGAATATATCTAGGGTCCAAAAAAAATACCTGAATGCGTAGTTTTATATGCATATTTTGGGGGAATCAATTTTAGCCATTCTCTTAACCTTAGGCAGGTCCATGGTAAACTTAATAGGGTAAGCCGCATAAATCAAAACTTGTTTATTCATGTATGTGTTACAACATATATGCACATAGTCAATACTTGTCTGAAACATTTAAAAGAAAATACACGAAGGGTTAGGGGGGACTCTGATGCATCTAGTTCATGTAATAGCACTAGATGTCTTGTACCGTCATCTTGTTCAAGTATAGACATAAAAAGACATTCCCCTTTATTTAATACAAGGTTATCTAGGAATGCGAATACTAGACTAGTAGGTTTTTAGTCCATTTACAGCGGTATTACAAAAACACATGATTGCCAGTAATTCTAACAAAGTTGTCAGTGTTCCTAAATGACAAGATTAAGAATTCACCATTCAGATTTTCACTTAATTTAAGATTGTTAAATTGCCGGAATCGGAACCAGTCTTTCCTTTTTGTCTAAAATTCATAAACGATTTCGATAATCTTGCCTTTAAGTTAAAACAAAGAGGAATTTAGATATTTTATTCCTGGTTTAGTAATTTAGTGTTACTAGTAAATACTGAGAAATTCGCATTATAAATTACCTCTTTCGGACATAACATATATGAATGCACAATGGACAGTAAAAAATGATGAACAAAGCACTAGTTTTACAAAATACATGTCGCGTTAAAAAAAGCTATGAACTATGAACAAGCAATATCTTGTTTACAAAACACATGCAACGCGCGTTAAAAGCGCATATTTATTTTGTTATATCATGATCAATACCCGTAATACTAGTTGGTATAAACGTTTTGTCGATACGGAATTCTGCAAGTCAGATGTTTGTTTTTGTAGAAAATATAGTAATTGTCGAGATTTCCAAATGAATACAGAAGCCAATAGGATACCATAGCGTGCTTCGTTGAAAAACCTTGTCAATTTGTGTGTTTCTTGTAGCATGGCAGTTTTAAGTCAAACGCCTGTAGTGCCGGATAATCTAAAGACATGAATTGCAAACCAGGTAAGTCTTTTTCTTTGGATAATTTCAGAAAAACAGCCATAGCTAAATTTCCACCTACAAATGAAAAATGCAGTACTTACTCAGTCTACAATTCTAGTAAGTTGCCACTATAAACAGACAAACTATACTTATATGGAAATCACCCATGTTCAAATTTATGTCTGGTTTCTTTTTATAGAATCTTTACAAAATCTATATCATACACAATGGCATTTGGATTCAATTTGAAACAGCTCGCACATAACCGTTTATAAGCATCAATTGTTTAATTTATATGTTATCGGCTACATAAGAATTTCTCATATACGCTACATAAGAATTTCAGACAGGTTTGGGTTATATCGGAAATCCTTCTATACATAGATTTACAAGGTACAACAAAATATGCATGCTTTTTTCAACTGATGGGCCAATTTCTTATATATTACTATGTCTGACTAATTCATTTACAGAGTCTCTGTTGGAACCTTGCTTCAAGTATATTTTCCGTAAGTGCTGTTTGTTCAAACCTCGCTTGAGATCATGTTAAAGTCGTCAGCATTATGAAAGTTTAATTCGTAACCACATGACGAGGTCATATATTAAAGCTGCAAGCCTCCAGAGTCATGCGGATTTTCATGAAATTTAAAATCAGGACCTGTTAAGTGAACAATGGAAGTAATTTACCCATTGCAAATGACATTTATAACATGTAAAATATCATTATATATGTATTTAATCTTTCACTACCTTAAAATCGTAATGCATTTTCTCAACTTTGATTTTCTTGAAACATTTTGACTCATCTGAAGGATTGCAATTTTAAACCTATACTGTAATCCAAAACTGTATTTGTGGTGTATTGTAAATGGTGAAAATGCTGACTGAATAAATAAATGAATAAATAAAAGAAATAGCTGGTCTTGTTGGACTCACTATTTGTTACTAGTATGTTTTTTATCAAAAGTTTCTTTTATGCCAAAAAGGTTTTTATCCACACCATATTCTTTGGCATGTCTTAAAATTAATATAGGACTATAAAACTGTATAATTGTATCAGATGTATACTCTTGTAAAAAAATGTAACTTTATAAAGTTTAAAAGTATCTTCTGATAATTGTTTTTGTCTGTTTTAACTATATAACTATTAGATTTACTATAGCACCAATTAACAAGTCAAAAGTTATGAGCGTCTTCAACCCGCGGTTACGGACTTCTTTTGGGTACACTGGTCGTGCATAAAATGCGGCAAAGTCAAAGAGGACTCTTATACCAAACAACACTTTAAGGTTGAAGACGACCATTATATACTCCAGCATCTATACATGACAAACATGGTCATGATATCCTAATCTTAAAAGTAAAACAAACAGTTCATTTTGGAGTGTGAAATGCAAACGTACTTCCATGGATGGATGTTTCTTTTTTACTTTTAAATACCATTTACATGCATGCAATTTCTTTAGATCCCTCCCGAGGCGCGCTCATCGCGGAGAGGGTAAACAGCAGGCAAAAGTAAAAACATTGAAAGTACAATGGACTAGCTATATAAAATTAAAAGAAAAATAAATTTATTCTTTTTTTATATCAATTGCTGTACTTCAGGTTAAACATTCTGTATCTCATCTATTTTACACAAACATTTTAATTGTATTTTTTCCTACATTCTCTGCTACTGAATATCTAAATATTCCGTTATTTTTTTGATATATTATAAAAGTGACTGCTTATACCGATAAATAATTCATATTTTGATTTCTATAAATTATTTGTTACAAAATTTAAAAAAAAAGGAAAAGCTACTGTTGTTGATACTATATGTATTTCAATGTTTTATGAATTCAAACAAATGTTAGTTTATTTTCAATGCATTTTTAGTAAATAAGCAATTTATTATATTAATCTTTGTCAATCGTATTAAGTAAAAAATAAGATCATCCTTTTGATTTAATAATTTATTGTAAACAAATGGTCGATGAAGAGAAGAGAACATTTCAGATTGCTTGGGTACATTTTGATTATCATCTCATAACATAGATAAAACAAAAAGAGAATACTATCATAAAACTTTTCAGGATCTTACATATAATGATATAAAGCAAGTCTCAGAGAAGCTCTAAGGTTAAAATATCTTCTTGAACCTGTTTTTCAAAGTAAACCGGGTCCTAAGAAATCTCATTCGTAAAATAAAGAAATGCTTCTTTGCATATATTACCACAGACACTTAGGATGTGGAGCTAACAACGCACATAGTATACGGCAACGCTGGGGAGCTACGTTTGAATCTGCCGAAAGATTTTATAAATGGCGTAAAACGGCGATAATCTTGATGTTTATTTCGCCTGTTGCGTTGTTTATATTGACGTTGAAATTTAAAATTGACCATCATCGTGAATAATTATATCTTCTGTGTCGATGGACCAAAGGATTATGTGTAAATATTGGAAATGGAATAAAATACAATGGTGATTTTGACGGTAGGTGTGCAGATTTTTTCGGCGAACATTTTTCTTTTAAGTATTATTATAGACGTTGCAATATCAAGTTTTTTCAAAACGGCTTATATTTAGTTTTATATATATATATCATCAGTACATGTGCTGGGATTGACAAATATACATTTTATTTGGATTTTAAAGGCGTTTATAGCTCCACAACCCAAGTGTCTGTTTATATTACATGGAAACAATACCATGTGATAAGTAGTTATTTTCTTGTCAGTCTAAGAATACGTTAAAGACAATTAATGTGTATATTCAATTGAATGTCCTTTTATTTTGTTTCCTCATCACGGGATTAGTAGTTCAATCAATCAATAAATAAATTTCAGCAATTATGGTATAAACAGTATCACCTAATCATTTATCAATCAAAATACCACTAAACTGCACAATAAGAAATTTTATTTTATCAAAAGTATCAAAATTACTTGGCATATGAAAATCAGGAAGTACATATGTAAAACACTTCAACTTTTGGGGCGTAACGATTTGCTGTGAACCGTCTTGGGATTGAATCATCTGTCTACAAGGAAGACTAGGTGTAAAATGAAATTTAAGTGAAACATAATACAAGATCCTTGCTGTAAAAAGAGAGACCCCCCCCCCCGATTTCTATGTGATATAATCCTATTTCAT